AAACACAGTTGTAATGTTAATGTTGTAACACTATTAAGAAACACCCCGGGATAAAGGTAAAACACAGTTAATGTTATAACACTATTAAAAACACCCTGGAACAAAGGTAAAACACAGTTGTAATGTTAATGTTGTAACACTATTAAGAAACACCCCGGGATAAAGGTAAAACACCTTGATAATCAGGTGGGCGTATTTTAATGTTATAATACAATGAAGGATTATCCTGAGGCTCAAGTAAAACACAGTTAATGATGTAACACTATTAAAAACACCCCGGGATAAAGGTAAAACACCGGATCTTTTGGCAATGTATCATCTGTTGTCTCTTGTGGTACAACATCATCTGATGTATCTTATGATACATAGTATTTGATGAATTTGGTTGTAACACAACATTATCTGATGTACCTTATGATATAGATTATTTGATGAATGTTGTTGTAACACAATATTATCTGATGTACCTTATGATTCAGATCATTTGATGAATGTTGTTGTAACACAATATTATCTGATGTACCTTATGGTATAGATTATTTGATGAATGTTGTTGTAACACAATATTATCTGATGTACCTTATGATTCAGGTTATTTGATGAATGTTGTTGTAACACAATATTATCTGATGTACCTTGTGGTACAGCCTCATCTACTGTTCTTGTCATAGAGAGTTATTTGAAGGATTTTGTTATACAGTATCGTCTTAGCTGTATTTCTGTTAATAGTACTTGTGGTTGTTGTGAGATTTAGATCACTTGTATTTATTTTAAAAGTGCACATCTAGTTTCCTAGACACGCTAATCAGACATCTTATGATGCTAAATAGTCACGAAACAGGAGAATGGTCCCAATTCGTGACAGAATAATTTGGTTTTCAATGGTTGTTTGTATGAACACATTCTCGGTTTAAGTTGTTGTCATAGACTTTACAGAACTAAAGACAGTTAAAACTATAAACACAGGATGGCTATAAAGAAGCCAAACTTACTTATGGTTCTCAATGTCTCTTAGAACATTGTTTGTTAGAATTGTGTTCCCCTAGGTCAAGCAGGTTTTAAGATATAATCATTTCAAACATCGGGCTTTTTTTATAGTCACCCTTTATATAAACTATTACGTTTTAATTGAGACTGTTTCATGATTTTTGAAAAGCACTTAGGATTACGAAAACATAGAGGTAGGCTTTCTTCTGTTGGCTCTATTACAACATAGATATTTTGACAGGTTTGAATGTAAAAGTAGAAAACACAATTATTTCTAATTTACCCAGGTGTACTTTTACTTCTCAGCAGTTTCTTCAAGCTCTTCATATCCCGTTTGAATAAACGTAGCGTACTACCCGTCTTGTTGCTACTGGTGGTCGAACAAGGCCCTTCTTCATCTACGTGTGTAGTACCTCGAGGTGTAGTGCTCCGAACACTTTCTTCACCATCGCTCTTCTTGCCCGTCGTAGCTGCCCGTCGTGCCTCCATCAAGCGCTTTTTACCCATTGTTTGTAAGATGTCCTAAAGAAAAATACAATAACGTGCAAGAGTAATTCGAACATTTTATACAAACAAACAAAACACTAAATATACATCATAGTTTCTGGCTGGTTTAAGCGACTGACGTTCACGTTAAAAGTGAAATCACAGTAGCGGATTTCATCGTGTTCTTGTTGGAAATGACCCCGAGAAGAGCTGATTCAGGGACGTCAATTCTGAGGGACGAGGGAGGAAATTGTCCCTCGAAGAAGATTAGAAAACCTTGATAATAGAGAACCATTTTTTATAGTTTAACGGTGTGTACCATAAAGCTACAGTACGAATACACGTATAAGTTTATTTAAACTTTATAAGTAACACTGACTCCCCCACAGAAGAGCTGATTCAGGGACGTGGGAGGAAATTGTTCCTTCAAGAAGATTAGAAAACCTTGATAACAGAGAACCATTTTTTATAGTTTCACGGTGTGTACCATAAAGCTACACTACAAAGACACATATAAGTTCATTTAAACTTTATAAGTAACAATGACTCCCCCACACAAGTAACGTCTTAAATCGAACAGTTATTCAAATCAAATGTTAAAACAACAACAACAAAGAAAGGAGCGACTCATGAACAGCTAAAATAATTGCATTTAATTCCGAATAACAGTGTATTTCGATCAACTTGAGGTCAAGTCATGGAACGGAAAATATTTACTTGTATCTGATATATTTATTCAAAAACAAACAAACATTAATCTTAAGATATTTCTTCGTGGCTGATGAAACGTTAAAATACACTAACGTAATCCTATGAGTGAGCCTTCATTGTATTATAACATTAAAATACGCCCACCTGATTATCAATTAGGACGATGTTGTACCATAATATCCATCAGATGCTGCTGTATCACATGAGATAGTAGATGATACAATATCATGAGACATCAAATAGTGCTTCAACATAATATCCATCAGGTGCTGCTGTATCACGTGAGATAGTAGATGATACAATATCATGAGACATCAAATAGTGCTTCAACATAATATCCATCAGATGCTGCTGTATCACATGAGATAGTAGATGATACAATATCATGAGACATCAAATAGTGCTTCAATATAATATCCATCACACAAGATCCATTATCATGACTCAAATAAGACAATAGTCGATAATGTGTGACAAACCACAGCAGATGTACCACAAGACCCATCAGATGATGCTGTACCATAAGAGACAGCAGATGTACCACAAGACCCATCAGACGATGCTGTACCATAGGAGACAGCAGCTAGCACAGCAGATGTACCACAAGACCCATCAGACGATGCTGTAACATAGGAGACAGCAGCTAGCACAGCAGATGTACCACAAGACCCATCAGACGATGCTTTACCATAAGAGACAGCAGCTAGCACAGCAGATGTATCACAAGACCCATCAGACGATGCTGTACCATAAGAGACAGCGGCTAGCACAGCAGATGTACCACAAGACCCATCAGACGATTCTGTACCATAGGAGACAGCGGCTAGCACAGCAGATGTACCACAAGACCCATCAGACGATTCTGTACCATAAGGGACAGCGGCTAGCACAGCAGATGTACCACAAGACCCATCAGACGATGCTATACCATAAGAGACAGCGGCTAGCACAGCAGATGTATCACAAGACCCATCAGACGATGCTGTACCATAAGAGACAGCAGCTAGCACAGCAGATGTACCACAAGACCCATCAGACGATTCTGTACCATAAGAGACAGCGGCTAGCACAGCAGATGTATCACAAGACCCATCAGACGATGCTGTACCATAAGAGACAGCAGCTAGCACAGCAGATGTACCACAAGACCCATCAGACGATGCTGTACCATAAGAGACAGCAGCTAGCACAGCAGATGTACCACAAGACCCATCAGACGATGCTGTACCATAAGAGACAGCAGCTAGCACAGCAGATGTACCACAAGACCCATCAGACGAT